TTGACCAAGGTCAAGGTCCTTCGCAACTAGTTGGTCTAAGAGCCACTTTTCACTAAATCCAAGGTTCCAATTTACTACAGCTGCAATAATACAGGCAGCATAATATGCAAAAGCATTTTGGAAGCTCTTAAGTCACCTCTGAAACAATGTAAATATAAAGTCAACAAATGAGAATTAAACATGTATTATATGCAACGAAACAGAAAAGCAAATTTGGGGAAGCAAGGAGTATTTAAGGCCTAGTTCCTGTTCTCTAAGAACTCCAGTCTAATGGGAGAGACCAATTTGGCTATATAGTATTGAGTTTTGGAGAATTGGGGAGATGGGCTAAAATCACTGTGTGCAGGGCCTTGAATGGCAGCATGTGAATTTCACGCAAAGGGTAATCTGGTAGATTTTTAGCCAAGTCTGACAGCATGCAGATGCCTGGAGATGCTGCTCCCCTCCCCCCACCGCCCCTATCTTTCAAATGATAGAATGAAGACACAGAAATGTACATGGAGAAATTTTCCAGGATGAATCAAGAGGGGTAGGGGTAAACATTAGTAAACATGGGTTGGAAAAGTACTGTAGAGGCCTCAAAAGAGAAAAAAGGGCATAAAACTAAAACCACCTGAGAAAAATAAAGCATAAACCTTCCACCCTGGGAAATCCAAATGGGTAAGATGGATTTGTAGTCCTAGCAATTTTTTTTTTTTCGACACATGAATCTTTGCAAATACCTCCTTAGGATCCTCAAATTAGTTTCAATTTATGATTAAACATTCTGACCCCTAGCGTTCCCCAAGCCATGTTTTCTAATTCATGCGCACTCTATAAACAAAGGAAATACGGTACTTGATAAATGTTGATGTCCACTTCCCTCGCCTTTCTCCTTTTCTTCAGAATTCTTTTATGTCTCCAGCACCCGGATCCCAGCACCTCAGAGCAGTGAGCACAGATCCAGGAAAGCCCTTTTAGGGACTCAGCCTTCCCCACCAGCTTACATGCTCTTTCTCTCTTGGCCCTTACAGGTATTCAACTAGGAATTGATAAGGCTTGCTTAAGTAATACTGATGCACAATTCTGATGGAGCACAGGGCCAGAAGCAGCACCTTTAAAGAAAGATGGCTTGATATTCTTAAAAGAAAATCTGAAATTTATTATTTTCTATTGATCCAAATCATCTGAAAGAAAAAGTCATACTAAACTGTTTGGTTTCTCAGGTTTATTATGCCTTGTGCCACCTAACACGTATCTCTTAGGAATGAAAATTGATTCAGAGGCAAGAAAGTACAAGGCTGTTTCTTACATTTATTCTATCACCTCCTAAGGAAGGACACACACACATTTAAGCTTTTATTTTTAAAGCAACAGTATCAAGATTCTGAAAGAAAATATTTATAAAGCATCCACCCTTACGTGGACAGTCAAGGGAGAATAAACATAGTTCTATCAGGAGAACCCTAAAAATAAAATATACCTTAAAAAATGCATCATATAGATTTATGTCAAGGTTTTGCTACTTTGGATCTGAAAAACTAAACCATCAAATTATCACTACAATGAACAAAAATTAAACTTAAGCACTTTATAGAAGAGCTCTTCCTTTTGTGGAGGTCTTTGAATAGACTTAAGACACCATGTTGTTTTAAGTTCCTTTTAAAAAATGAGATATTACAATTGTAGAACACAAATGCAATTAAAATCAAATATATTAGTAAATACATGAAAGAAAAATTTGGAAACTAGTAGACACAATGATCTTCAAAGGATGAAATTATATTGAAACACAACAGTTCTATTATTTTGGAGGGGGGAAATTACTGCTTTTCATTGAAAAAAAAAATTGCTTGTTTTGGACTACAGGCTCCAAAAATCCTTCCAGAATGGACAAGCCTTACCAACAAGCAATCCAATGACTAAAGGATTATTTCCAAACACGTCTGTTTATTAACCCTTCCTCTCCAGTGCAAAAAGCTAGAAGACATATAAAGCACATATTTTTAATTAACGAACATTTGCAAAGTGATAGGTTTTGTGAATGGCAATTCTTAGCCCTCAAAATAAAGAGGAAATAATGCTCCTCAGCATGTTGTAGATTCCAAACCAAATAAATACTAACGGGCCTTAGGAAATCCAAAGACACTTTTTCTCCTTGTGCGTAGGTCTCAATAATGCTTCTGGGCCTGATGCTTATAGAAAGTCCAACTTGCCACTAGCTGAATGTGTGCTGATCACGGATTGAGAGACGGAGAGCTGTCCTCCCAGCCTCCACCGAGCCAGCTTCTCTAGGTCATTCTTATCGGTGCCCTTTATTGACATTAATAACCATTAGGCATGGCAAAAATTGAGATTTTAAGCACCACATAAACCTTTCTGCTTTTAAGGAAAAAGTTTATACAACATTTACATTTTATAACTGGTAAAGGCTTTCTCCTCCACAATATATTGATAATGGAACAGGCTTATTTGTTCTTAATCTGTGGAAAACAATTCTAGCCACTATTAGATGCTAATT